GGGGTCCTCGCTGTCCTCGGCCGCCAGCCCGGTGGGATCCTCGCTGTACCGGGGCAGGGGGCCGGGCTCCCGCCCCGGGGGGCTCTGCAGGGCTGCCTTGACCCCCCCATCCCCCTCTGGCACCTCGGGCACAGGGCTCTCCGGCCCCTCCGCCAGGCCCTGGGCAGGGAAGGGGAAGGAGGACAAGCCCTCGCCCTCCTCCACCTTGGCCGGAGACTCTGCTGTGCTCTGGGAGTGGGACAGGACACGGAGTCACCCCGAGGACTGTCCTGGTCCTGTGGGGTTGTGGGGTCACCCCACGGCTGTGCCAGGAGCGGGGGGTCCCTCCCTGCCCCCAGCCCACCCCCGTACCCGCATGGAGGAGATGCGGCTGCGGTAGGTGGTGGAGGTGTCGGCGCTGAAGAAGCCGTGGTGAGGCACCAGGTACTCCTCGGCGTCCACCAGGTCGTCCATGTCCTCCTCCTCCAGCAGCGCCCGGTAGAAGGTGCTGTCCATGGAGCCTGGCAGCCCCACCAGGTCGTTCTGGAGGGGGACACACCAGTCAGTGCCCACCCTGGGGCACTGGCAGGGGCGACAGGACCCCTGGGGACCCCCAGGGACCCACAAACCTGGATGACCACGAAGCGCTGGGGGTCCCGGGCCATGCGGGAGAACTCGGTGACCAGCTCCCGGAACTTGGGCCGGCACTCGGAGTCGATCATCCAGCCTGGAGAGCAGGGCCCCGTCAGGAGGCACCGTCAGGGCCCCCGTGTCCCTGTCCCCTCCCTGTGATCATGTGTCCCCATGCTGCCCCCATGTCCCCTCCCTGCATTCCCTGCCTTTACATTTCACCATGATCATGTGTCCCCATGGTGTCCCCATGGTGTCCCCATGGTGTCCCCATGGTGTCCCCTGCCCGTACATTTCACCATGATCATGTAGACGTCGATGGTGCAGATGGGCGGCGGCGGGAGCCGCTCCCCCTTCTCCAGCAGGTCCGGGATCTCCCGCGCGGGGATCCCGTCGTACGGCTTCGCCCCGAACGTCATCAGCTCCCACACGGTGACACCTGGAGGGGGCAGGGGCGGGGGTGGGGGTGAGCAGCGCCCTGGGGACTCCCCCTGCACCCCCCGGGGGTGGGACACCCCAAGGTACCGTAGCTCCAGACGTCGCTCTGGTGCGTGAAGCGCCGGCGGAGGATGGACTCCAGCGCCATCCACTTGATGGGGACCTGGCACAGGGAGGAGGGGGAG